TGCAAATCAATTGCCAGATGCATTTACTGACACAAAAAGGGTGACAAAATCACATGTTGCAGCTATAAATGCCCCTGCTCGAATTGAGATTCCAAAAGAAATGGCAAATGATGATATGTCAAATGAGTTAAAGACACGTTTGAAACGAAGAAGACCAGTTGGGTCTAAAGATAAGAATCCTCGAAAGAAAAGAGAAATTCAAGATTCGAATTTGAAAAAGTATCAAGATGATGGAAAAATTTCGGGACGAAATGAAAATATTGAAATCTCCATCAATTACGTAAATAATGGGAAACTTTGGAAGCATGATGAGATCATTGATGATTCATTCGCGTATATGGTATCACAAGAAATTGACAAAGAAGTTGAGGATCCTGAACCAAAATCTATTATTGAATGTCAGAAAAGACATGATTGGGACAGGTGGAAAGGTGCTATTCAAGCCGAGTTAGATTCACTTAATAAACGAAAGGTTTTTGGACCTATTTCCATTATACCAAAAGATATAAAACCTATTGGATACATATGAGTTTTTGTCAGAAAAAGAAATGAGAAAAATGAGATCACAAGATATAAAGTTCGCCTTGTAGCACAGGGATTCTCCCAGAGGCCTGGGATTGATTATGATGAAACATATTCCCCTGTTATGGATGCAGTTCAGGTTAGTTTAGCCATCCATGAAAATCTTGAGATGCGTCTCATGGATGTTGTGACTGCTTACTTATATGGATCGCTAGACGCTGACATTTATATGAAAATTCCAGAAGAAATTAGAATACCCGAAGCACTAAAGTCCAAACCTAAAGAGTTATGCGCGATAAAATTGCAAAGATCATTGTATGGCTTGAAACAATCCAAGCGTATGTAGCATAATTGTTTGAGTGAACAATTACTAAAACGGAGAAACATAAATAATCAAATATTTCCGTGTGTCTTTATAGAAAGATCACAAGATGGAGTTGTGATAATTGTTGTCTATGTCGATGATCTTAATATTATTGGGACTACAAATGAAATCTAAGAAGCAGTCAATTTACTGAAAAGTGAGTTTGAAATGAAAGATCTCGGACAAACCAAATATTGGCTCGGCTTGCAAATAGAACGAGTCCAAAATGGGATATTCGTCCATCAATCTAATTACACTAAAAGAATACTGAAACGATTCAGTATGGACAAGGCTAATCCACTTAGTGCCCCAATGGTCAATCGAACATTAAATATTGAAAAAGATCCATTTCGACCTTATGAAGAAGATGAAGAAATACTTGGTCCTGAAATACCATATATGAGTGCAATAGGAGCCCTTATGTATCTTGCTAATTGCACCAGACCAGATATATCTTTCGCTACCAACTTATTAGCAAGATATAACTCGGCACCTACGAGGAGACATTGGAATGAAATCAAGCATATATTCCGTTATCTCCACGGGACAGTCAATTTGGGATTGTTTTACTCCAATGATAAAAAACATGAAATAATCAATTTTGCAGATGCATGATATCTATCAGACCCCCATAAAGCAAGATCTCAAATTGGCGACGTTTTTACGATTGGTGGAACTGCATTCTCTTGGCGTTCTCAGAAACAAACATTAGTTGCGACGTCTTCAAATCATGCTGAGATTATTGCACTACATGAAGCAACTAAGGAAAGCATCTGGCTCAGAAACATGACTCAACATACTCAACAAGCCAGTGGACTATCAAATAATGATGACCCGACGGTGATATTCGAAGACAATGCAGCATGTGTCGCTCAAATCAAAGAAGGATACATTAAGAGTGACAGAACTAAACATATCCCGCCAAAGTTCTTCCCATATGCTCAAGAGCTTGAAAGGAACAAACAAATCAAAGTTCAATACGTTCGATCAAGCAATAATGCAGCAGATTTATTTGCAAAGGCACTTCCGACTACAATATTTCGAAAGCACGTACACAATATTGGCATGAGACATCTTCGGGATTTCCACAGATGATAACTCGAGAAGGAGTATGTGCGGCTGTACTCTTTTTTCCTTATCTCGGTTTTTTTTTTCTCACAGGGTTTTTCCAGATAAGGTTTTTAATGAGGCAACATAAACGCACAGTTAATAGTGGTAATTCCAAGGGGAGTGTTATAAACAAGTGGAATTTTACCACTAGTAATATTATTACCTTATCTTATCATAATGTATAGAAATATGTGCATGGAAATCCTCCCTATATATTATTCCAGAATGCGCTGAGCCTACGTGGTTGATCTGGTGCTTCGGAATCCTACTTGGCAAAAAATCATGCTTCGTAATTAGGTTTGGACAAATAATATTGATATATTAGTAATTAATAATTTAGGTTTGGACATTCCATAAATATTATTTAGCTAACTTAGGTATTTTAATATCACTTATACTAATATAACCCTTTATTTCTTTGTAATTTTACATACGGAGGCACTAAGTGACTAATATATACCTGACTTTTGATTTGTTTCCTTCAATTAGTTATTGAATTATAAATGTATTTTAAAAATCGATAACTTCTGTATTTCGTATCGGTTTTACATATATAATATATCAAATTAATCATCTTTTGATGATCTTCGATTTGACATTCATATTGTATATATGAAATAAATAAACTATATTTATATATATAATAATAAAAAATAATAATATTTATTAAAATTCATTAGAAAAATAAAATTATTTCTCAATTGATATATTTATGTTTAATGTAATTATATGTTGTAAGTTAAAAAAATTATTATAATATAACACATGTAAGTTGCACAAATAAAAAGTGTCATACTAAATATATAATAATATATATATATATTTATATAATAGGTATTTAAATTTTCAACTACTTTTTCTCATTAATTTTAGATTTAAAAAAAAAAATTAACAAGCACCTGTGTAATACACGGACATTGTACTAGTAATTAATAATGATGAAATTTTGTCTATAAAAGGCAAGAGAAGTAGTGCATTTGGATGTACGAAAGAAAAGGAAGAGAAAAAAATAAAAGCATCTAATAAGTTATATTCAATTTTTACATTGTATTCTTTATATTCTCTGTATTTTATAACAGAAAAATTTATTTTCCACGTGACTACATTTTTTTTGTTCTCCAATCCCCATTGACTACATTTTTAGGGTGAAATTGGATGGATGGGCTCTCATTCACTCCTTTTTCCCTTTGGTACACTTTTCTTTAGTTGTTACAAACCTCAAGAAAGAAGAAATGACTCGTATTTCAAGTTAGAAAAACTATAAAGATTCACTGCTTTCAGTGACTACCAAAAATAACTTCATACTTTGTCTTCTATTTCAACTTATAATCTCATTTAACCATGTTTTGGCAGAAATTCTATGGCACCACATGCGACACCATATTATGGTGCCACAACTATCACACATGTTGTGGCACCAATCATAATGTGTCACATCATGTTGTGGCACCAGAGAATTTCTGATGTTTTGGTGTTCCTTCACCGTTCTTATGTAACTTCAATTTATTTTCAGCGTCTTTTACTGCTCGTCTACATGGAAACGAGTCGCTCAAAACTACAAAACACACACACGAAATAATTTCGTTCAAATAAAAAGCGAAATAAAGAGGGGGAAGAAGTTACATTCAATAACCTACCAAAAAGAGAGTAACTTTTTGTCAGTGTCCCAAGTGAACTAAAAACTACTAAAATTCAAACAAAACAAAACCAACAAGTAAAAGGGATACCCAACTGGAGAGCAGAACTTGGGCTCTCACTCTTGAGTGAGAAAATATACAAAGAAAATATGGGGCTGCAAGCAATAATAGGAAGATAAAAAGGAAATGAAATAAAAAAATTAAAATAATGTGAAGCACACCTAATGATTTTGCAATTCTGGTTTTAATACGAGCCTATTTATAAATGGTGTTACCGCCGTAAGCAGCGCTTTTGGACATTCCTCGTGCGGAAGATGGCCACAGCCAGATATTGCCACCATTCTCTGCACCATAATAACAATTTATATATTAGTTAATAAAATAATATTAAAAAAAAAAGTGAAAAGGATAAAGAAGAAAAGTCATGCTCAAGACTAACCATAACTATAAGACTGTTAAAAGACGTGTCTTAATGAGTGTTTGAAAAACAACATGCAAAAAGTGATCTTCACAAGTGAACAAAAAAAAGAATACATTTTTTATATTGTAATTACAGCTGCTTTTGATTCTGTATTTTTACTCGACGTACAATCATTCTTGATTTATCCAATCCTATTTATCAACAAAGTAAATGTCTAGTTCTGAATGTTTACCTAGATGGTACAATAAATTGAAATTCCGAAATTTCAACGTACAAAAGCAGCGAAAATTGAAGTAGCAGTGAAGTATTGTTAACTCACAGAATTGGCGAGTGTAGAAGCCAAGGTTTGAACAGAGTTGGGAGGGACAAGGACATCTTCAGAACCGGCAACAAATAAGACAGGTAGTGTTTCGACTGTTTTCAGAACCAAAGCTGCGTCTTGTGGAGTTAAGACTGTCTCAAAAGATAGTTTTCCTATTTCATGAAGTGCCTCATCCCAACCTTCTACATGCAATGGGGCCTGACAAAATAGAGAGCCAGTAATATATAAGAAAATCCTTGAGATGAGGAATTCGAACATCTATCCGATTATACACGTATGGAAAAGCTCTATTTTTAAAATAGCCAATTAGTACGACTATTTTAGTAATTAATCAGTATATTTAGTAATAAAACCATGAGAAGGAGCAACTAGGAATGCAGGAGCATAATCCAAGGAAATCTTGAAAGACGTGTTTATAGTAATTAATGCTAAACATCAAAGGCAGTAGTAGTTATAATCCTGATAATTGAAATTATGCTTGTTACACACATATAATATATTGGCAAGAAAGATAAATGTTCACCCATGAATTACCATATGCAGACCCAATTTGTTATCGAATAAAACAATGTTCATGCATACCACAATTGAGGAGTCTAAGGTATGATAAAAAGATATACACTAATTACGTTCCAAGGAAATTCATGAAAGAATGAAGCCTTTATAGACTATGAAAACCGTCATGAATCCCAAAATGCATGTTTTAGATTTGGGACCAAAGCATGTTCACATTAATCATAACATCATAACCATCAATTACAATCTGAACAAGTACTAGTGCCGCAAAAAAAAAGCTTATTTTTATATATACTATAGTAGATTAGGAAAGCATAATATGTTATGCAAAGTCCAACAGTCACGGGAAACTTAAGTATTCTAATTGCAATCAATAGATTAATGCCCCAGAAACAGAAGACTCAGGAATACATATGAGCTTTGCAAGCATAAATATACATAAGATTTGAAAGCAGCTTCTGTTCACATTTTAAAGGAACAAATTAACCAAAAAAAAAAAAAAAATTGCGATGCATAGCATGCATAAAAATCAAGGGTCATCATAACATCATAAGTGAGATGTTGGAAGTCGAATGATGTATTTACAATGTAATACCTTATATAGGTTTAAGACTTCAGTTGTCAATTTGGTTGCATCGTGCCAGGCTCGACGGTTGACCACTTGGGTAATTTCAGTTCGAAGAAGAGGACGCACCAAGTGTTTTTTCCCCAGAGAAGTGCGTAATAATATTCTTGCAAAAGCAGGAACCAGTTCTCTCGACAAACTCATGTTCAGTAAAATGGTTCCCTTTATTTCAAGCTGAGCACACATGCATATACAGAAATCAAATCTTACATTAGGAAAGTAAGATCTAAATTTGGATTAGAATTACGTTAAGACATGATACACTGCACATGTTCTCACAATAAGTTCCACTTTCATACACACATTAAGTGGGCTGGAAAAAACACAGAATAAAAAGTCTAGATCTTCATACATCAGTTTAATAGTTAACTTTTGTAGCACAAGCATAGATAGGTCGCGTTGCTGGCATGCATGAACTTCCTTTCAGTACTTATTATTAACCCATAAAAAACAAATGAAAAATTCAAGCATGTAAAACATGTTGAATGTAAAGAAATTTGTCTTTAATAAAGTCAAATAATTAAATATATAGTTACAAAATTTAAAATTTATTATGAATTTAATCAAATATACATGATAGGACACTTACCTTCACTGAGTTAGCTGATGACTGAAGCTTCTGTGCAGCCTTCAGGGCGAGCAGTCCTCCATCATCGTGTCCAACAAACACAACCGAGGTCAACTTCATCTCCAAACAAAAAGAAAGCAGCAGGTCCACCTGTGATTTGAAAATGTTCAAACGCTGAAATCGAGGTCTTCACGAATATGAGAAAATGCAAATTCTTAGGAAGACATCCAAAAGAGTTAGACAAGCATCATATATATTGCAGGGATATACAGGTCCAACCTCATTTTAGCACAGCCAGTAAACAACAAGTAATCCCCATGAAAGTAAATCAACAATACTAATGGATGAAAAACATTACTTTGTTCTACATGTTACAAGGGACAACTTTCTATGATTTGCTCACAGTCACTCCATAATGTAGTGCTGGCACAACAGAGATTGACAACACCTTGACAATGGAGTGGATTAATTGACCATTGATTTGTTTTTAAGTGAAAATCAAATTTTTAATATTTAAAAACAAAGGAATTTTCCTTGCCTAAAATTAAGAAGGAAAGTGAAAACATGTTAGCCATTGCCTGTGGCTCTGCATGTCTCTGTATCCGTATGCTACAAGAGATAGAGAAGTAGATAACTATATAAATGTTCAAAAAAAAAAAGACATACAGAAATAGGTAAATCAACTATTCTAGCATCTCAATTTACCAATAAAATATTCATACTATTTCAGACATATGAAGAATCCACATACACACTCACATTATACAGTTAGTAACTGATGAAAGTTGAGCGCACATAATCACCTGACTGTCGAGCTTGTAAGGATTAGGCAGTCGATTATCCTCCCAATCCTTGTGCCTTGGCCTTGATGTCAGACCCCACCCAGGTCGGTCAAAAGCAGCAACCATGCAACCAGTTTGCCTAGCTAGAGGCCCCATCACTTTCCTCCAAGAGAAGACCCCTCCCCCAAACCCATGGACCAACACAATCCCAAATTGTTCGGAACCTTCCATCACAGGTGACCCCACTTTTTTAACATCATCCTCCTCGAACATGTCATTTAAGTTCAAGATAGGCAAATATTCAGAGACTGGGGAGTTTGGTGAACTAGCCAGGAGGGGTGTATCAAGTGGGGAACTGGCACTAGAGAATTGGTTGCTTATGCTTCTGTGAATACTAAGTTGGGTTTTCAGTGGATTGTTTAATGATGATGTGTGGTTGTGAAGAGAAATGGAGGACAAGGAACGGGATGGTGATCCGGGCACGCTTATCTTGTAATGAACCGTGAGCCCCTGACAGGAAATGAATAAACTATCTGCATCAGCTAGCAAACTGAGTGGAAGCTCCTCATCGTCATGAAACAATTCTGGTGCTTTTCGCTTTGTTAAGCTGTCGTCAATTTGCGATGATTTTCCACTGGATGGAGTGGGCGATCGTGGAATCTTTGGGAAACCAGAGAAGACCATTTTGCAGGAAAGAACCTGAATAGTCAGGATAGAATAGTTAAGGTACAAAACTGAGGTGAATGAGAGATGCTAAAAGAATCCCATATAGGAAAGAGATTTATTAATAAATAATTGGAAAAACCAAAAATCTCAACTGAGTTCTAGAACTACCAAAACAACCCCCAGGTGTAATTCGGTGTACTACAAGTAATATCTCTACAGGAGAGTAGGGGGGGGTCTTGAAACATTTTTGGTTTATGAATAGGGTAATGAAAGAAAAAATCAAATCCCAGGTGTTCATTGCAATTTTGAAAGTCTGCTGCTCTTTCTTTTCTGGAATGAGATCAATATTAGGAATGATCTGCGAAACTAACCATAAATTTTATCCTGGGAACCAACTTGGGACTAGATATTCATCAAGTTAGCAACAATATGACAAACAAAAATCCGTCAACTACCATGCTAAGTCACACAACTAGCTTGGAGACCTAACATACAACAAACACAGAGCATATCTAACAGACTTGTATCTAACAGATTAAGCTCAAGGAGGAATATTCATGAAACTTACAGCCTCTGGATCAACACGGTGAAAAATAAGTTTCCTCCTAGCTTTGCAGCTAGTCCGGTAGGCCACGACAATGTGCCCAAGAGCAAAGACCACGGAAGAGAGAAACAAGACGGGCATTCCCCAAGATTTCTTCAGATGGAGCCTCTTCCTTGAGAGAGAAACTGAAGCTTCGTCCATGAGCTGAGAGCTAACGGTGAAGAAACAAGCCTTGATTGAAAGAAGAAAAACCGAGACCAAGGAGCAAATAGTAACGGTTCCTAAATAGGGGCCGTGTGACAGTGCTGGACCATCACACATCGTATATACACCTGTTTCGTTTTTCAAATCGATTAATAACCAAATCATCTTTCAAAATAACAAAGTTCTCAAAGAAAATGTTTTCATTGGATATCAAGCTTGATAGAGCTCAATAATTGTAGATACTTCAGGTCATAATACTTGAAACAATGATACCACTTGAAAAGATATGGTATTTGATGTTGAACTGTGATAAGATTTATCAAAAAATGAAAGAAAAGAAAAGTGCCCTTTATTTTCAGCTATTATGAATTTTCCAGCATGAGTGCAATTGCATTTCAGCTAAAAAATAAAAGGACATAAAAATAAAACCTCTTTAATATTCACTATAACATTTTCATGACAAGAATCATTGCACCCACAGTCTTCAGTCTAATATAACAGTTCGAAATCACAAACACCAATCAATGAGGCAGAGTTAGTTCAAATCTAAAAAATGTGCTACATTAGCTGTATCAGTGGATTACTGCACAACAGCAATATAAGGAAAGGCAGAAAAGAAAGAAAGAAAACCTACATGTAATGATGATAGATCTGACGATGGAAACAAGAGGAATATCCATAAGCGAGCTCTTAAAGGTGTATCTTCTCAAATGCTCCTTGTAACTATAACATTTGACGCACGTGAAGCTAGATATCAAAAGGCATGGAAAAATGGCGTCAATGATAGCCACAACCACCGGCAAAGACACCACCAACAGGGACGTGACCATGGCTACCATGAAATAAGCCGTCCTTATACCCCTCCTCACCTTCTCCCACCACCAGCCGCCGCCCTTGGTCAACATTTTTTCCCCCCTCGAGAAAAATTATTTGTAAGAAGGTACTCAAGTTGGATTGGACCTGTGGAAATGCGAGATCGGTATGATATCAGAAGCAGTTGAGACGGCACCGGAAGACGTAACTGCCATCCGCCGAGGCCAATCCACCGGTAAACGCCGCCGTCGGTCGCCTCTGAGGGTTTAATTGATTCATACAAATTTTCTCCGACCCTCTGTGAATTTTGTAATTATCTTCTCCCTTCTCTCTCCTCAGCTTTTAAATGAGAGAGAGAGAGAGAGTATGTGCGTGCTTAATCCCAGTTGTTTCCATCGAATCACAAAAAAGTCTGAATTGGCATTTGAAATATTATAAATAATTAAAAAAAGAAAGAAATAAAGGAATATGAAATTAAAATATATTATTTAGTACATGATGCACGATTAGTAGTTTTTTTTATTTGCACGATTAGTAGTTGAGAGAAAGGTTTTTTTTTTATATATAAATTCAAGCCTAAAACTACCCATTTAAAGTGAGATGTCCCCTTTTGACCACTATAGGGCTTAGATGTCCAAAGAGTTTGTTTTTTTTTATAAAAAAAAAAAAGTCAAAGATCTACATCAATGTCGAATATACACAGAACAACATCAAAACAAAAAATCAAAAAGTACAAAGATCACAAAATGACCAAACTGGATCTAAAAACAAGTCCTCATAAGAGGTCGTCCTGGTCAGAGTGGCCTGACATGAAGTCCAAGACAACAAATCTAGTCAGGGTCAGGTGGTGGCGGTCGTCCGAATCTGAATGATGGGTAATCTAGCTGGTCCATCCGAATGAGCGTTCGAAGCCGGAGGGAAATGTCCTCAGGGTAAAGGATGCGTCTCTGGGTATAAAAGCCCCCATGCCAGCAAGGAAATCAGCGGGTTGGTTCCCCTCTCGGAATATGTGTGAGACCTGGTAATGGATCGAGCGGAGGATGTCTCTTATGCGCATAAGGGGATGTTGGATCTGCCATGAGCCCTGGTGGCTGGATGTTAAAAGTGTGATGACAGCTGTAGTATCCATCTCTATCCAGATATGGGAGGAGATCGAGGCGATAATCTCAAGACCAATTTGGAACGCCTAAATCTCTACATCATAACTCGAGGAGGCCCGGAGTGGTCCATGGAAGGCAGAGATGAGAGTCCCACCATGATCCCTAATCAGGCTCCCTCCTCCAGCAGCTCCGGTATGTCTGTCGAAAGCGCCATCAGTGTTTAGCTTAACCCAAGGAGCCTTGGGTTTCAGCTAAACAACGGCCCTGGGTCGTGGGTGTCGGACAGGTAAAGGAGGTGGTGGCCTCAAACGATGTGGCGGTGTACAACCTGTCCAGTCTCTCGTCGTGAGTCTACCTATGGCAGTGAAGAGAGAGAGAGGTGTCTGTCAACCTACAAAATGATGTGAGCACAAGAAAATATAATATCTCTATGCTTCGCGTTATTCCTCTCTGTCCAGGTGGCCCATAGGATCAGACAAGGAATAAGGAAGCCCACGTGTCTACTGTGTGTGCGGTGTGAGAAAAAACTCAGAAGCTAAAAAAAAGTCTGTAGTGGGTAGGGGTATATGAGTATATCTGGCATAATGCACCCACACTCTCCTCACAATCTCACTCTCAAGGAAAAGATGGGTGAAAGTCTCGATCTCAAAGGTACGGGTCTCAGCACAACAATGGCAACGAGAGGGGAAGGAGAACCCTCTCGCCTGCATCGCAGTGCCAATGGGAATACGCCGTAATAGGAGACGCCACAAAAAGACAGAAATGGTCGGGGTGAGAAGGTCGGTCCAGATGGCCCCGAAGAGGAGGTTAGGCCGGTTACCCAGCCTCACATCTCCCCAGGCCGATGACGTAGAGAATGCACCCGAAGATGTAAGTCTCCACCTCATACCGTCCAAACCTCCCTCCAGGATGGGAATCTGTCGGATCTGGTCAATCTCTAGTCTACTAAAACCCCCACCCTCATCTAGAATGTCGTCCATCTTATCTTTATCCCAAAGGCCCCCCGACCAAAGGTCCTTCACCTACATGAAGGGAAGATGAGTGACCGGCCTAGTACTCGAAAGGGGGGCCTCGCCGAACCACCACTCATCCCAGAAGCTAACCTCACCAGAACCCAGTGTCCAAAAAATGTGCTTCTGAGCATGTCTGGCAACAGTGGTGAGACGTCTCCACTGTCGACTATCTCGAGCCGTGGTAGTCACCCTACAAGGATGGGCAGCACCACCAGGGCAGTACTTCCTCAGGAGGTATTGGGCCCAAAGGGACATGCCCTCCCTAAAGCTCCACCACATCCTGTAGGAAAACGCAGTGACAACATCAGAGAAACGCTGAATCCCGAGCCCTACCCTCAGAATGGGGACGACATATGGAATCCCACTTCACCCAGTGGGCCTGCCGCCGTCCTCGCGAGCTCTCGTCATGGCTCCAAAAATAGCAGGCTAAGATCTGATCTAAATCATGAATCGTAGACTGATAAGGGTTAAGCACCGCAAGAAGGTGAAGAGGGAGGGCACAAAGAGTGCTCTTGATCAGAGCAAGTCGGCCTCCGAAGGAAAGGTGTCTCTGTGACCAGCCAGAAATACGGTCAATCATCCTCTGACGGATGTCAATGAAAAGCTCATGGGATAGATGGCCTTTGTACAGGGGAGCCCCAAGGTAAGGGATGAGTAAGTCTCCATGAGCAAATCCAGTGCGCTCGTGAATCCGATGAGCCCAATGATCAGCAATGTGGTGGTCCATAATAAAGGTGCTCTTACTAACACTGACTAGTTGGCCAGATGTCTCACTGTAGTGATCCAAAAGACTCATGAGATCTACTAGCCCATTATCATTCGCAAGAGTGAAAATGATAATGTCATCCGCATAAGAAAGATGGGAAATGGGAGGCCCACAGCCACGCGTGCTGTAGGTCATACTCGGATAGTCGCGAATGAAACTGTCAAGGCAGCGAGAGAGATAGCCAGCCACCAGAACAAAAAAGGAGGGGGATAAGGGGTCTCCCTGACGAAGGCCGCGGGTAGAAGGGAAAAAGATCGTGGGACTACCATTAATCAAAACAGAGAACATGCAGTGCTCCACACACGCCTCCACAAAGCTAATCCAACGGTTAGGAAATCCCATCCGTAACAGTACCTCTCTGAGAAACGAACACTCGACCCTATCATATGCTTTGGCCATGTCTAGCTTCAGCACGAGGTTCGGGGTTCGTGTCCGATTCGCATGAGAGATATCGTGTATCATCTCCTGAGCCAAACGAACATTATCACTAATGAATCGATCTTTGATGAATCTAGACTGGTTCGGAGAGACAAGATAGAGGAGGAGGGAGGTGAGGTGCATGTTGAGGATTCTACAGATGATCTTGTTAGTCACGTTGCATAAGCTGATAGGTCTATAATCGGACCAAGAACTAGGTCCCGATCTCTTCGGGATCAAAATTATGGAGGTCGCTGTGAAGGACTCTGGCATCTGGTGTTCAGAGAAGAAAGCCCTCACAGCTTCCTCTACATCAGGTCCCACAATCTCCCAGCAAGACTGGAAGAAGAGGGACGAAAAGCCATCCGGTCCGGACGCTGTTGGGATCGATCCCAAACACAGCCTCCCTGACTTCCTCCTTACTCGGGAGGTCACAGAGGTCGACGAGGTCAACCGACTGTGGGATGGTCAGAAAAAGGGTCGGGTCGGGGTGCGTGAGCAAGTCCCGTTCAGAGGAAAAGAGAGTGTGGAAGTAAGCTCTAGCCGACTCTCGTATCTGGGACTCTTGGGTCACGGATGACCCATTATCCTCGATACTATGTATATACGACTTGACTCGCTTCTGGCTCACGAATCCTGGAAGAACTTGGTATTACGCTCCCCCTCAGCCACCCAGCACACAGCAGCCTTCTGCTTCCAGAAATTTTCCTCCATGAGGAGGCGCAACTGGTACTCAGCATGGCAGCGACGGATCTCGGACTTGTTCTCTGGCGAAGAATCCAGATCATAGTTCCGTTCCGCCTCCGCATATGCAGTCTGAGCTGCAGTAAGGCGGTGAGAAATGTCACCAAAAGTCGTCCAGTTCCACTGCTTCAAAACACGGTGGAGTCTCTTGAGCTTCTCCTCCAGGTTACGCATCCCATAGAGGTGCGTAGCCTGCTGCCAAGAAGCTCTAACAGTATCGTAGTAAGATTGGTGGCGGACCCACATGTTCTGGAAACGAAAGGAGACGCGCCGAGGGGAAATAGAGAACCGACACCGAATCAGAAGGGGGGCATGGTCGGATCCAATTCGAAAAAGGTGTGTCACAGCCGTGATCGCAAACACCCTCGTCCACGCCTCTGAGTAAAGAGCGCGGTCGAGCCTCTCCTTGACTCCGGCCCTCTCCCACGTAAAGGGAGCCCCTTCGTATCCAGCGTCGATTAACTCACAATCCGATACAGGGTGCGAGAAATCTAAGATCTTCGTAGAGCAGTCCGAAACACCACCAATGCGTTCATCGGGATGCAAAAATATGTTGAAATCACCACTAGCTATCCACGGTAATCCCTCCATACTCTCAGCAATCTCACACATGGTGTCCCAGAGATCATAGCGGCCAACCCTTGCACAGCTGGCGTAAACCAAAGTGTGGACGATTGGCTCCGGAAGTTGGGCGGCGGTGAGCTTCACGTGCAAGACCTGATCAGTATCCTGAAGGATCTGACAAGCAAAGTCACGTGAGTGGAAAAACCAAATCTTGTTAGAGGTATTTGTTAGTGTTATATACTGAAAGCTTGGCTTTGGATGATATTACACTTTTACCCTTTATGAATGAGAAACATGTTAGATTAAACGAGTTCTACAATCTGTTGTTTTGCATTAGATAGTGTGGTCATCATCGGGCGAACCGAAGATCATGCTGTCAGTATTCGCGAAACAAGAATAAGTGGTTCACAACCCAGATAGACATGAACACCTCATCGCGAACAGTTGTAGTGTCAATTGTACAGTTTGTCTTGACTGATTAGTTGTAC